CATATAGCCTGTAAAGCACTAAGGAAGTCTGAGATGCCCACAAATGGTGACATAGGCATAGGTGAAATACAGATAAGTGCTACAAGAATGGCATACAATTCAGCTGTAAAAATGCTAGCCGAGGATAAAAAAATGCCCTCGCATGACACTGTCTGGAAACACTGCTGCGAATCCGACACCGTCAAAAGACTTAGAACCATCGGTGTACATTGCGATGGCATGAGAATGATATTGGAAGGGGTCAAAAAAAGAGAGTGGGAAGCCACCGTGGGCAGTTGGGCTTTCGCGCATGACAATGGGAAAGAACAGACACGAACAGCTGGAATTTGCCAAGGGGGTAAGGAAAAGTGAGATGCTACATGAACATAAAAAGGGTGGTAACTGAAGGAAAGACAAGAGCGAATTGTAGGTGAAGAGAAAAGGGAGGGAGTAAACAGGGAGACAAACATAATATCTACTAACATCGGATTGCGGAGGTCATGGGAACGAACGTAATATGAAGGCAATGAACATCACGGTGATCGGACAAGGATGGAATATTCGCTTCTGCACAGAGGCTCTCAACCGGTGAAGAGCAAAAAAGCACCAAGGCATAAACAAATCCCTGATGATGGATGGGATTAAGGCTAGAGAGAGTAGCAGGAGAGATACTGAATAGATCTGGTCACCATAATCAAGTTTCGATAAAATTAGGGTGAATCCCCCCCATGAAAGATGAGCGAGGGTTTTTTAAAAAAGTTCAGCTGGCTATGACAAGTTGCCTTCAGAGAGTTAATGTGAGGTTTCCAGGATAACCTACGCTCAAACAGAAGGGCCCAGAAACCTGACCATATCATGTTCTGGGTTACGCCCAAACCATATAGGTACAATGGATGATCAGAGACAACTGAACATCTAGTGAAGTAATTTGGCGAGTTTTACTACTCAAAAATTTTAAACCCATGAGTGGTGGCCCAGTTGGAAACATTGGGGTTTACCGCATGCTAGAGGGGAAACTGCAGTGAGGTGACAGTGAGCACCTGCACAAGCTATAGCAAAGTCATCAACGTAGAGCGATGACCAAATATTGGAGGGAAGAATAGATGCCAGATCATTTATAGCAAGGAGAAAAAGTGTTATGCTCAGAACACATCCCTGGGGACACCTTCAGCTTGGGTAAAGTCCGAGGAAAGCATATTATTAACCCGAACATGGAAATGTCTTTCAGTTAAGAAGTTCTTAAGGAAAAGTGGTAGATTGCCTCAGGGGCCTAAGGAGTGGGCCTGGGCCAAGATATTATACTTCCAAGTTGTGTCATATGCCTTCTCAAGGTTAAAAAAAAAAAAAGTCAATAACCGAGTGGTTATTGGTGAAGGCATTATGAACATACATATCCAAGCGTAGTAAGGGATCAATGGTAGAATGGCCCTTACGAAAGCCATATTGACTAGTGGATAGACTGTTGAGAGTCTCTAAATACCATATCAAACATCCATCGCCTTGCAAACTGCACTGGTAAGAGCAATGGGATGATAGTGGGAGGCTTCATGCCCCGTAGTACCCGGTTTGCAGAAAGGTAAAACAATGGCAGATTTCCACAGCTGGGGAAGAACTTGTGACCAAATAAGGTTAGTAGTAAGAGGACTGCAAGGGATGACTGATGCAAATGCTGTAGAATGCGAAAATGAATGCCATCAGGCCCAGCTGCCGACGATCAGCAAGCGGAGTGTGTTGCCTCCAGTTCCAGAAGAGTAAAAGGCACATTATAGGATTCTTCGCTGATAGAAGAAAAATCTAAGGGCTCTAACTCTGGCAGACTTTGAGGAAAGAAACGAGGGGCATAGATGGAGGCCCTGAGAAATATGGACCAGATGATTACCAATTTCAGTAGCAACATCAAGAGGGTCTGCTATATCGACACCGGCAATCCAAAGAAGGAGCTGGGTCAGGGAAGTATTTACCACTCAGTTTCTGTATTTTTTTCCAGACTGCACTCCTAGAGGAAGCTCAAGCGACTGTAGAAACACAATCCCGCCAGCGAGTGTGTTTAGCGTCACGAATGACACGGTGAGTGACTGCTCTCTTCTGCTTAAAATCAAGGAATCTCTCTGTGGTTCTGTTGTACTGGTACCTGCCCCACGCAGCGCATTTCAAATGTACTGCCCAAGCATAAGCAGGAGACCACTAAGGCTCGCACTTCTGAGAATGCTTGCCAGAGGTTAGGGGTATAGAATGTGAAGCTGTGGTTAAGACTGAGGTTGAGAGGAGGAGCAAAATCTCATCAGTGGAGGACGAGGAAGGAGCCTCGTTAAAAGCAGTTAGACGCACATAAAGGTCCCACGGGCTCTTTAAACATACTGTAAAATCTCTTAGCTCCAAGACTAATCCTGTACCAAATTTGACTTCTAGTTTCTGAAAAATATTTCACGGTTGGGGCTTGCACTACTGAGTACATGATAGATCTAAAAATTTATAATAATCATGAGGAAATCAATAAACCCATATATATATATATATCATATAGCAGCTCCTCTTGTGGAGGTTAGTGAAGGATTACATTTTCCTGATACAGGTCGGCCATCACTAATCCGGCAGTCAGTTACAGTATTTGGTTCCATCAGTAATCCGGTACTAATTTCGGCTAGCATAATTTCAAATTTCATCATTATACTAAAATTTCATCATTATACTGACTCAAATAGTGCAGATGGTTGTAAATCTTCATCAGCAAGCCATTGGAGGAGAAAGCAGTGATGAAAATGAGGAAGATGTAGCAGTCTCTCTATTTATAGGTTAAGTGTATTCTAACCTAACCACTCTGTAATCCAGCAAACTCAATTAATCTGGCACACTACAGGTCCCAATGATGCCGGATTAGTGATGGCCGACCTGTACTAAGTGTTGACATCAAAACACTGTGCTAGAATAAAAGTGATGGCATCAGAAGTGTCATATCATATACGTTGACGAATATGTGGAATGAAATGGAGTAGTGCTCAAATGTGTTATGAGCCATTAGAGATGCAGAGATTAAACAACCAATACGCTATATAAAAACTACATATTCATATCTGTTACCATTTTGCTGTTAAAAAAACTGAAATGAGAAGGGCTTTATAGACACTTTTGTAGGTATATACTACACTCAAGTGGCCACTATTACATACACCTTTTTACCTGCTTGTTAATGCAGCCAATCACATGGTAATACCTCAATGCCTACAAGCATGCAGATATGGTCAAGTCTCTAAAGTCTACAGAATGGTGTGAAAACACAAAATATCAAGCGAGTGGTGGTTCTGTGGGTGAAAGCACTTTGATAATGAAAGGTGAGAGGAGAATGGCCAGATTAGTTAAAGCTAACAGGAAGGTGACAGTAACTCGAATAATTATGTTACAACAGTGGTTGCAGAAAAACATCTCTGAATGCACAACACATCAAACATAGAAGTGGATGGGTCACAGAAGCAGAATACCACACCAGGTTCCACTCCTGTCAGCTAAAAACAGGAACCTGAGGCTACAATGGGCATAGGCTCTCCAAAACTGGAACAGCTGAAGATTGGATAAACATTGCTAGCCTGACAAATTGAGATTTCTGCTGCAACATGCAGAGGGCTGGATCAGAATTTGGTGTAAACCTTTGGAAGCTGTGGAATGGGAAATCTGCAGCATGAATATGCTACTAACAGATCTGCAGCAAATACATGATGTATTATGTCATGACCAAGATCTTTAAAGAACATTTCCAGCACTTTGTTGAATCCATGCTATGAAGAACTGAGGCTGTTCTGGGGGCAAAAGGGACCCTACTCAGTACTATTAGAGTGTACCTTATCAAGTGGCCACCGAGTGTACATACATGTATGCATATACATCCCTATGCATATACATGTATGTAGTACATATACAAAGGTATGTATATACAGAATTCTTCCTCCGTAAGCCATGCGTGTTGTAAGAGGCAACTAAAATGCCGGGAGCAAGGGCCTGGTAACCCCTTCTGTATAAATTACTAAATTTAAAAAGAGAAACTTTCGTCTTTCTTTTTGGGCCACCCTGCCTTGGTGGGATACGGCCAGTTTGTTGAAAGAAGAAAGATGTATATACATACCAATTTATATGCTGTATAAACAGTATATAAAGAGGTAGAGGTAATAATAAGAGAAGGACACTGGCAAAATATTGGACAATATTGAAAGTGAATAAAGTTGTATAAAAAATGTGTAATATGACTGAATGGGAAAGGTTTCAGAATACAATTACAGTACAAAACTGATGTAGTAGCAGTAGTAGTAGTGACATTTACAGAGCACTTTGACTGCATATGTCACTCAATGCTCTGCCATAAAAACACAAAACAAAAACTAGGATAAAATCCACACACAATAAGAGCAATGAATAAACATTCAACACAAATAGTATCATATCATTAAATTATTAATGTCAGAAGACTCTTCTAAAAGTTTTCCCAAGGTCCCTACAGGCACCTTAGTGCAGTAATTGTGAAAACTATGAAGGCAGAAAAGCCCAAGCCAAGGACCATATGTAAACAAGTGACTATGGGTGAGGTGCATGAGCCACAAGGCACATGCACCTCAGTATGTACAGCACTCCGAGAAACTGTACAAGAAAAGCAGTACTGTCGTCAAAATAAGTGACAATTTTTCTTCAAATAACTCTTAAATAAATACAAGTACCATCCGACTTATGACCTGCTCGACATACTACCACACGTATTTACGACCATACTGCTTACAGCTTAGCTTAAGTTATTTTGTACTTTTCTGTTCATGCATACGAATGTTTTTGTATGTTTTCATGCATACAAATGTTTTGTATGCAAATAAACAACTGTTTGTGTTGTACACAGCATTTCTTCTAAACCTTACAGTATAAAATACAGTACTAAAAGCATAAGATTCGACTTGCATGCATTTTGACGTATAACCGGTTGGTCAAAAGCAAGCTCGGTCGTAAGTTGGATGGTACTTGTTCAAGGAATTAATTAAACCACACTGTAAAAATACAATAGTAATTTTATTCCATGCTTGATGAAACAAGCACACTTAACATAATGATCATATTGCAAGACAAGCGAACATTGCAATTAATGAAAATAATAATTTAAACTATTGAGAAGTGTAAATAAAGAATGGTTGGAGTTAAGGAAAAATTTACTTCTTCTAATGACCATACCTGTAAAGAAAGAATGACAACTGTTACCTCAACAAATTAAGTATACTCTAATTCATTTTAATCCAAAAAATATGCACCAAATAATGTACAAAATTCTACAATTGTTTACCAGTACAAAAGAGCAAAATGCTTGAAAATATTATTTAAAGTAACTTATTCAGAAATTATATTCAAGCACAGTACTGTAAACTGCATGAAGACTTCAGAAACCAAGTGTGTTCTTCCAAGTACTCTATAGTTGTATTAACAAAAATACTCACTTCTGGAACTCCCATTCCCTGTTGTCTAATGGGCATACTTGACGGGTTTTCAACCATCGAGATATACAATGGAAGTGGAAAGCATGCTGCAAGAGAAACATATTAAATGGCAATTAAAGATGCTAATGATCTTTTACTAATTAAATTTCTTCATTTCATTAATTTTGGCATTACATTTCTTTCTATACCTTCCTAGGCATGCACTGATGAGCTAAAAGACATTGTTCACATTAACCCTTTCAGGGTCGACAGGCCCTCTCCCATACTTGTTCTCAGGGTTCCCCAATTTAAAAAAAAAATTCTTATGAAAAAATAAAGAATCTTTTCCCGATCATAATGACACTAAAAGTATGAAATTTGATGTAAAACTGACAGAATTATGCTCTCGCGAAGTTAGCGGTCTCGACGATGTTTACGCATCGGCAATTTTGCCCACTTTGAGTCCTATTTTTGGCCAATTCCAGTGTACTAGTCGACAAAAATCATAACTATATCGCTAGAACTCCATTTTTTCTATCGAATGAGTACAAGAAACCACCCATTTACTGATTTCAACTATCCAATACAGTGGTCAGAATTTAGCAATTTTACCAATTGTCAGCATAGTTACTGATCCCTGTGTTATATAGCATAGCATATAGTATCATCCATGTGCTTTAGATAGGAGATCCCTTTTAGGCCTGTGACTTTGTGTGACGTCACGGGATGCGCATGTGTACGTTCGTACCTCTGCCTCGGTCTCAGTCGGAGTTTTGACACAGGCTAGGACAGGCAGAGGCTGGGCTCCATTTCTCATCATCACAGTCTGACAATATATGTTACCATCCAACAAGTGTGTCTACCTTCAACCCTCGATATCTCCATTTAAGAACCCCTACGATACAATCTCACACAAATTTCAAAAGATGCCAATTTCCGAATAGGGTCCAGAATAAACAAGAAAGACATTCCTGGCACTAAAATAACATTTCTTCTGTTCATTAGTCATGTCCCCAAGCCCCTCTTACATTCTTTTGCTTTTCACTTTGAATTTTTATTCTCACAAAAAATTGAAGATTTACTGTTATGCAGACTACTGCATTAGTGTAGAAATGGTATAAATAATATCAGTGCACTTGTGAAAGAATATTAGACTCACCAGTTAACGTGTATTGGATGCATAGCACTGATTTGTTTACTTTTGAGCTTTGGTAAAAATCGAACATTTCTGCTACTTTGAGCTCAATTTCAAGGTGCTTTTCATTGTAAAACAAGTCAAAATCATCTCAATTTCTGTAATATGTCTTCCATTCTATAAAATGAGACCAGGAAAACTAGAATACAACAATAAATACCATACGAAAATACAGTGCAAAGTCGCTGTTTTAATCCAAAAGCACGGTCAGTTTTTTTTTCTCAATACGCACAGTGCGCTGCAGGATTTTTTTTATACTGCGCACACTGACCACATAGACCCATTCTTTCATATGTAGGCCTACCAGCTTTCTCTCGCTAGATTTGAGGGCACTAGAATTTAGGCGTACTAGTACGCCATGGACACTGGTGCGTAAGCCGTACTAGTACGGCTGAAACCCTGAAAGGGTTAATCACCATGTACATTTCTTGCTGCCAGCGAGGGGCTCTTAGTTCAAGGAACTGAATCTTCCTTTCCCTTCCTTTGATTGAGCCTGAATGCTTCCCATTCTCCCAGGCACTGTACGATCCTTAATGAATCATCAACAATGAAAACTCCATCAAGGGAGAAATAAGAGAGGCCTTTAATTGAGAGTATTTGTACTGTAGTGCCAATAGGAGTTTCATTGTGAATACTAAGTAATCTGCATCTTTGTTAATCCACTTTGTTAATTTTCCCCTTCAAGCACTTTTTAAGATTGCTTAAAATGATTTTGTTTTTTTTTTTTAGCTCCCAAGACAATCCAAAATGTCATCACAAAACTTTTAAAGAGAAATACAGCAGGTTTACTTTTTTAACAGCCAAACCTAGAAATTAATTTTAATACCTTCAGGTCTCATTTCTTATGTTTCCAAATGGAGATGACAACAATGGATAACAGTTAAATATTGTTAGTTATGTCTTGAAATTCTTTCACAGTGCAATAACCATAAATTTAAAACCATGTGTTATTAGAATATCTGGGAAGGGAGGATTTTTTCAAATAGTAGAAATTAAATATAGCAAATTTATAAGGGACTAACTTCTTTTTACTGCTAAAACTACCCTACTGAAATGCATGAACTGGTCAAACTCCCTTCACTAAGTACACTTTGTTATATGAGAGGTATCCTCTAATTTAAAAATGAAAAACAAATGCACCTGAAGATCTTACACTACTAGTAAAAAATAATTGGAGTAAAAATATTAACAGTAAAAGATAAATTAAAAATGTATAGCAACTACATACAGTGGAACCTTTGCTGTTGACTGCACTACTTGATGAACAAATCAGTTTTCGAATGAGGAATTTGAGAAAAAAATGTCCTTGTTTTTGTATGTTCTCCAGGTTGTCGACGCACAACACGAATGGCTCAGGGTCACATGCTCACAGAATGTGTACTGGACAATGAATTGACAGCATGAGGGACTTGAAATTGAAGCCCTTACTTGTTTATCATTCCAAAAATCCACAGGTTTTAAGAAGAACAATGTTATGAAAAACAAATTGGCTGTAATGTGGAGAGCCAACACGAAAGCTTGGGTAACAAGACAATTTTTTATTGAGTGGGTTCATGAGGTCTTTGCTCCCACTGTCAAAAAGTACTTCATTAAAAAGAATTGCCACTCATGGCCTTTTTACTTAAGGATAATACTCCTGCTCACCCTCCAAGCTTGGAATACGAGTTTTTGGAGTAGTTCAGTTTTATAACTGTAAAGTTTTTGCCTCCTAACAGCACTCCTCTCATCTAGCCCATGGACCAGCAGGTCATTTCTAACTCAAGAAACTCTACACCAAAGCCCATTTTGAAAGGTGCTTTGAAATTACTTCAGAAACAAATTTAACCCTCGGGGAGTTCTGGAACAAGAATTTTAATATCCTCACCTGCTTAAAGCTTATAGACAAAGCCTGGAGAAATGTGTTTTCCAGGACCATGCAGTCAGCCTGGAAGAAATTGTGGCCTAATTTTGTCAACCAGGGATTTTGAAGGCTCTGAAGTCATCTTCAAAGCCTGAGCCGGTAGAGGACATTGTGTCCCTGGGAAAAACCTTGGGCCTAAAGGTGAGTAAAGATGATGTGGAGAAGTTGGTGGAGGAGCACAGAAATGAACTCACCAAAGAAGAACTCGTAGACCTTCAGAAGGAGCAGCAACAGATTGCATTGGAGGAGCTGTCATCAGAGGAAGAGGAGAGATGATGTGCCCATTGCATTTGTCAAGGAAATATGTGCTAAATGGCATGAAGTGAAGGAATTTGCTGAAAAATACCATCCAGACAAAGCAGTGGCCATCAGTCTCTCTAACATGTACGATGACAGACCTCACTAAACAGGTTTTTAGTGAGAAAGAACCAGTGAGTCAGAACAGTGTTAGTGGTGAAAAGAGACAAAGAGAAACAATACCAGAAGGACATTTGCCTGACATATTAATAGGCGACTCTCCATCAAAGAAGTAACATACCCCCTCCTCTCCTCCACTTCCTGCTTCTAGTATGCCATTAGCTCTCCTCTGACAGGTAAGAGGCAGTGAAATTTTCATTTACTGTACAGTATTTCAGTTAGTTTCTTTTAGTATACATTTTTAGTTTCATGTAGTAGTTAGTACATTTTTAATAAATTATTTTATTGTCATTTGGGATCTGGAATGAATTAATTATACTATATTTACATTTTTTTTTCCAACAAACCGGTCATATCCCACCAAGGCAGGGTGGCCCAAAAAGACAAACTAAAGTTTATCTTTTTAAATTTAGTAATTTATACAGGAGAAGGGGTTACTAGCCCCTTGCTCCTGGCATTTTAGTCGACTCTTACAACACGCATAGCTTACGGAGGAAGAATTCTGTTCCACTTCCCCATGGAGATAAGAGGAAATAAACAATAACAAGAACTAGAAAGAAAATAGAAGGAAACCCAGAGGGGTGTGTATATACAGTGGACCCTCGACTAACGCTATTAATCCGTTCCTAAGAGCTCATCGTTAGTCAAAATTGTCATTAGTCAAGTTAATTTTCCCCATAAGAAATAATGGAAATCAAATTAATCCGTGTAGGACACCCCAAAGTATGAAAAAAAAATGTTTTTACCATATGAAATATTAATTTTAATACACACAAACTGAAGAAGACATGCACACTTACAAGACACTTATCTTTATTGAAGATCTGGTGATGATTGATGGGATGGGAGGAGGGGAGAGTGTTGATGGGCTTAGTGTTTAGAAGGAATCCCCTTCCATTAGGACTTGAGGTGGCAAGTCCTTTTCCGGGGTTACTTCCCTTTCTTTAAATCTCTCAAACCAACCTTTGCTGGCCTTAAATTCACTCACATCACCACTAGTTGCTGGCATTTTTTTAATTAAATCGTCATGCAACTTCCTAGCCTTTTCACATATGATCGCTTGAGAGATGCTATCTATCCTTTTCGTTTATCCACACAATAACAGCTCTCAACATCGAGTACTTGCTATCTCAGTTTCGAAAACATAGTTGCACCTTTGGCAAGAACAGCTTCCCTTTATTGCCGTTTTCTTGCCACAATAGTAGTGATGGTTGATTGGGGTTTTGTGTACAACCTGGCCAGCTCGGAGACACGCACTCCACTTTCATACTTAGCAATGAAACTCTTTCTTCATATCCATAGTATTTCTCACCCTTTTTGCTGTAGGGTTGGCACTAGAAGCTTTCTTGGGGCCCATGGGGACTTATTTTGCAGGTGCAATTTACTAAAAAGGCTGTGATAATATGAAATGTTCCGATTGTATGCTTGGAAGCGACCGCGGTGGCTGGCTGGCTTGTAAACACTGGCCAGAAGTGGACGCGTCTCAGACGGAACGAATAGTGTTGGTCGAGTTTTTTAGCGCTAGTCGAGGCAAAATTTTTGCTGTTAAAATGTATCGCTAGTAGGATTTATCGTTAATTGATGCCATCGTTGGTCGAGGGTCCACTGTATATGCTTGTACATGTATGTGTAGTGTGACCTAAGTGTAAGTAGAAGCAGCAAGACGTACCTGAAACCTTGCATGTTCATGGGACAGAAAAATGGACACCAGCAATCTTACCATCATGTAAAACAATTCCAGGCTTTCGTTTTACACTCACTTGGCAGGACGGTAGTACCTCCCTGGGTAGTTGCTGTCTACCAACCTACTACCTATATTTACATTTTTCTTTATGGAAAAAATTGCTTTGGTCATCATCCGGAAGGAATTAAATTTCACTGTATTAGTATACTACTACCAGTAACTACAAAATAAATATTTCTGCTACAGCATTCAACGAAATCTTCGCAAGATTCTTCAGAAGGTATCAGATCACTGAAGTACTGACCACCATTTTAGTGTGCATAATTCTAAACCTGTAAATCAGATACTAATTACTGTAGAAGCCAATATGAGTAGAGCAATTCTTCAAATAATGTATGTACATGCAAAGAAATCAGAATCACAGTAATATGGTAAAACTCCTACAATAGATGGCCATGCTACAGTATCTGTCAATATGTCAACATTTTATTAGCGATACAGTGGCCCCTTGGTTATCATAATTAATCCGTTCCAGTGTGTGATTAAAGCCGAGTTTGACGATTTCCAAATTCATTTTTCCTATAAGAAATAATGTAAATCCAATTAATCCGTTCCAGACACCCAAAAGTATTAAAAATTTTTTTTTACATGAAATATACATTTACCTACACAGAAAACAATGAGACATGAAAAATAAAACAATAACAAAATGACACTTACCCTTATTGAAGACTCTTCTTAGTGTACTGAAGATGGGAGGAGGGGAGAGGATGGAGAAATTACTGTTTGGAAGGGGAATCTCCTTCCATAAAGACTTCAGGTACCAAGTCCTTTTTGGGGGTTACTTCCCTTCTAGGACCAGCTTGAGAGTCACTAGACCCCTGTTGCTCAAAAAAGTGTTCCTGAGGTGTCTGTTTCTGGAGTATGTTAGGAATTGTGGCCACAGCAGGGGGAGTGTGTTGGGAGACAGGACAAGATAGTCCTTCAATATGACACTAATATCAACTCTACGGCTTATTTATCTAGCACAATTAATCTAATATGAAATAAACAATATTAATAACAGAAACACGATATATACTCAAGAATTAATAAAATACGTCATTAAGTATGTGATAAGTGGTGTTGTGTTTGTTGTTGGGTGAATAAGGGCCAATGAAAGATAAGCCTTACATAGTGGTGGTGATGGTGGCAGAAGAGGCAGTGGAGTTAGTCAGTAGCCCTATATACCTCCAACAACATTGGAGGAGTCAGTTTTGTGCAGTCCCTTTTCTATTGGTTAATCGCTTAACTTACTTGCTACACTTTATCACTGGCTGGTGCTGTAGCCTTTATTGACCCCTGCTGCATTAGTATCGTACATATCACAGAATCACTGACGAAGGCACATTCTCCCATCCCTCTCAGCCCTTTACCAAAGGGCTGGCTAGCACTAGGAAATTTCTTTGGGCCCATGGTGGCTTATTTAGCACTTGAAAACACTAAAAAGTATGGAATACAGTAGGGCCCCACCTTACGGCGTTCCGCTATGGTGATGTCAAATTATGACCAAAATTTGCTATACGGCAAGCGGTCTTTCAAATACGGCGCCCCACCCGGTTTGTTTGCATTCTCCGTGACCACATCTATTATGTCAGGAAACTTTACAAAATTTCAAGTGTTTTAAAGTTACTGTGTATTTTATATGTACTCTGATAATTATACTTATGTGTACCTGTACCTAAATATACTTACACACTGTGCTGGTGTGCAGGTACACATTAAAATTGCTAAGTCTCTCTCTACTCATGACGCCAACACTACGTAATAATAATCACTCTTGGGCACACTAAATGTCTTATTTTACATTAATATAGGCATTTTCATTAATCCATCTATGATATTTTCCTCAAAATTATACAGTGGTCCCTCACTTTTCATAGTTCTTGGGAATCATAGATTTCGGAAATCAAAGGTATATTTTCATATAAACATGAGCTCGCTAATCATAGGTTGACTCGCGAATAGTAGTTCGTCCGGGACGTGTACGCATGGTGTGAGCCGGGGCGGCCTCCCTACCCAGCCAGTCTGGTATTGTTTACCAGTGAGCGAAGGTCCCCTTATGTGCTCCTATGAAATATTTCATAATATTCCACTCATTTTAGTGCTTGCAAGTACTAAATAAGCTACCATGGCTCCAAAGAAAGCTCCTAGTGCCAAGCCTGTGGTAAAGAGGGTGAGAAATACACCAAAGCAATGTTTCACAGGTGCTTGACTGTGACTACAGACACTCACTTGACCCTAAGGGAATTTTGGAAAGAACACTTCAGCATCCTCCATTGCATAACCCTTATAGGTATGGCTTGGGAGGGAGTGACTACCAGGACTTTGAACTCTGCTTGGAGAAAATTGTGGCCAGATTGTGTCGACAAGAGGGATTTTGAAGGGTTTGGGACTGACCCTGCACTCAGTGCACAGACCCATTCTCTCACATCTAGGACAAAATTTACAACTCACAGTTGATCCAAGCGAGCTGAACTCACGACGAAGATCTACACGACAGACCCCTGGCGTCAATTACATGAGAGTGAAAAGGTTAAGGGTTACCTTTTGTGGATACCCAATTACACAAGAAACACATTTTGAAGAATTGCCTTACAGATAGCCTAATTACTAAAGAACTGGCTGTACTACACTAATCTATCCATACATCACTTAAGTTGTAACATATGTATATGCTTGAGGATCTACAATTATAACACAAGAAAGAATACTGTACTGGTAACCTCAAATTTTTGTGAAGAATTTATTAACCAACTACAATACAGTATGTACTGTACAATAACCTATTCCTTGCATTTTTCATAGTTTCTTTTAAATTCATACTCACATTACACACGCCCCAAGCTACAGTGCATTCTTCTGATGTAACCGAGGCCTGGTTGGCTTGACATTCTATGCACAAATCCATAATGTGATTGCGGCAGATGGCACAGTTATCAACAACAATATCTGCAGAAGAAAAAATTCTGCATATCAGTGTGCTATGATGACTGGCAGTCATTTTATTAGTTATAAATGTCCTAATTTATATGAGAAAAATCTCTGCCATTTGATACTGTATATCTAGATAGTACAAAGACATGCATGAAACCTGCAATTCACAGAAAATTTATCTTCCATTAATGAAGAACAATTACATTTTGCATGTTGGTTTATAAAACACTAAATTTTCAAAATGAAGCAATAGTATAAATGTTCTACAAATACTGGGTTTACTACTGATAAGTACAAACTGGTAGAATAATATGGTGGACCTGTGGGCAAATATGACAGGACATTATTAAATCTTAAAGAAATGAGTGAGAGTGTGGAAAATGGTGTTAAGGTGTTGAGCACTGGCTTGTTGGAACACTACCGATGTGACATGAAGCTGCAAAGATTTAAGTTACTAAAATTATAATTAGTGAAGGGATACCTAAATTTTTGCTGACAGCAATACAGTACATGCAGGCCCTGCTTATACAGCAGGTTAGGTTCCAGGCTACTGCTGTAAAGTGAAACACAGCCCATTTTTCCCTTTCAAATGCATATAAAAGCCTGATAACATGGTTTATATTATCATATATTAAATGACCAATACACACATATACAGTACACACATTACTTAAAACATTTTCATCCTTAGCTTATGGTGAGTGATGAATATATTCATTGTAGGAAATCTGAATAAATGAAGAATGGGTATAATGGAAAACTGCTGCATGTGTAACACCATAAAATGAAGTGCTGTAAAGCGGGGCCTGCCTGTACTCAATTTTATGCCAATATCAATATTTACCATCAAAATTAGCTGATGCTCACAAATACTGATATCAAAATTGGCTAAAACCACAGATACTTGGTACAAAAATAACCCTAACATAGGAGAGAGAGAAGCTTATGATGACGTTTCAGCCCAACTTGGACCATTTACAAAGTCACACTAACACGAGAGTGAGGGATCAAGTATATATAGGCAAGAGGGGACAAGGACAGGACCAAGATTTAGTTTAACATCTTAATTATGCACCCCATACAGATCCTGTGGGTGGTAGTCATAAAAAGGTTACAGAGGTCCAAGAGAGGTAGAAAAAGTAGTGACAGTGGTAAGATTGATAGTGGAAGTAGGAGTAATAGTGTTAGTAGAAAGTAGGGAAAATACCAGAACCTTTGAGATGCTTCAGGTGCCAGAGGTACAACCACCTCACTGCCTGATGTCAGTTTAAGAAAAAATGCAACATCTGTAGCTTGGATAAACTGAAGAGAGGAGAAGCTATGGAATCTTTGTGTAAGAACTGTGGCAAGAAGCATCATGCCTGGAACCTACACTGTCTGGAGGCTCCACCGTGTCAGGGCAGCATGGAAAACCCAGGTTGTCTAGCTTCCAACATTAGGTACAGCCCTCACCATTGAGCAGCAGCCTCACCCAAAGGTTACAGAATCATGGAACCCAGGGCCGCTTCCCCGGACACAGTGAGAAAGGAAGCCGAGGAAAGAGTGATGGGGGTAACGCCATTGCTCAGCTAGCTTCCAATACTCCCACTCAACAATGGCAGCTAATGGGCCTAATTCCACAGGAAAGTACTACAGCTAACAAGTCAACCCCAGCACCACAACAGTCACTAGTGAGGAACACTGCAACCCAGAAGAGCATAGCAGGACAACCTGCATTACCCGAGCCAACAAATGATGTCGACAATCAAATGCTTCACCAATATCATACGTGACCTGATAGAAGAAAAAAGAGAGGCTTTCAGAACTACTGTGAAGACCGTGAACATATGCATGATGTATAAAACAGAGTCCAAGCATTTATTTGCAAATTTTCCCAACCACCCAACACAGGGCCTAGAAACAATGATGGGGATCCTGATTGCCTCAGCCAGCTCTTGAACATAAAATGTTTTGCTTGGAATGCACATGGACTACAGCAAGACCCTAATCATGGCCACTGAATAGCTGAATTAGACTGACATCTCTTTCGAGATCTTCAGATGGGTCATCTTAAGATTAAGACTTGTGTCCAGACAGTTCCTGATGAATCAAATAAACCCTTGTGGTAATGTGACTGTAAATGGTCCAAGTTGGATCGAAATGTTGTCGTAAACTTCTCTCTCCTATGTGCGGGTTATCTTTGTATTGTTCCAGTCATGGTATTGTGCCTTTTTATTCTTTACTGATACTCAATTTTAGGCCAGCATCAATACCATCAAAATCAGCTGATACCAACACTAATGCTTTGGCACACCCCTAATTACAATGAACCAGCCCATATGCTGGTATACCCAAAGTATACCAGCATATGTAGCAGTACCATTGATGCTCCATTCAGCTGCCTGTATCACTGGCAGTTACCTCTATGGAAACCAATAACATCAAATGAAGTGGGTTATGCTGCCAGTGAAGGGGAGGCATTGGCAGTAGTAGCACTGAGGATAGGCCAGTTGGGACTGGGGCATTCAAATTTCACCACCTCTTGGTAAAGTTATTTGACAGTAAGGTGCTAAATGGTATGATGAATTCCAGGCCATTTACCACATCCACAAAATATATATTGCTGGGAAAAGCTGTGCAAATGGGAACATTATCTTATGTTCTGAAAAACCTAAACCTAGGGCAAAGATAAAATATTAGTCAACAGAATTATGGTACGGGCCTGGCCCATTAACAAGTCCCAAGAATTGCTTGGTTCAAACCTTTCTACAATGTACAGAAAAGTTAACTGTTGCAGACAAGCTGGTGGCCTACACGTCTGAATAAGTTATGTAAGGTTGGTGATGCTAGTCACTACAGCACCAGGTGGCCACTAAGCTACATATGGGCTACCAGGAAATAGGGTCCATTTGCTGTGCCAGTGCTGTGTCAGTGTTCAGTGGTCAGTCGTCACGTGAGGTCACAGACCCTGAGCTGCTTGGGGATTAGCGTGGACGGTTACAAAGCATGGCTTGCTTCTACAGTGTTTTAAAAGCTGAGGTTGGAGAGTTGAAGGAGGGGGGTCTTGTTCTCCGGGAGGAGATTAGGAGGCTGAAGGTCCCCTCGGGGCCGGGGGGAGAGAGTGTGAGGGGGTTTGGAGATGTGGGGAATGAGGCTTTGCAGTGGGGCAGTTGTCTCCAGTGAGGGGCTGTTGGTGGGGTGGTAGAACGGCTACCAGCAGTGGGGTGCAGCCCAGCACCTGCTTAAAGTGGCGAGTTGTTCACAGAAAGGGGAGGCGCATCAGAGTAAGGAAAGTTAAGAGTGAGATCTGAAGGTAGGAAATGCTTCTCTGTTCTCCAGGATGAATGTACTTCAGGGCCGTAAGTAAGGGTATACTGCCCTGCAATGAAGGTAAGCGCATTCTTGTGGTTGGGACTCTCAGGTAAAATATGTGATGTGCTTTTTTTATAGGAAAAAGAAGATGAGAGTAGATTGCTTCCTGGAGCTGGTGTTGGGGACATTGTAAAGACTGGTAATTCATGAGGTAATGGGAACAAGCCCTTATCGTCTCAGTGTGGTGGAAAAAGATATTGGAAGGGTAGGAAAGGGAAAGCTGCTAGATAAATAAGGTCAGCTAAGATTTCATTAAGTTAAAGGGGGGGACCAAACATATGTAAACATTTGCCTAGAAAAGGGGGTAGGAAATGAAAGGGGTCTAGGGCAAATTGGGTGTAAATTGTGGCTAGAAGTAGCAAGGAAATTGCAATCCCATTCATTGACAACTGGAAAAAACTTTTATGGCAAAATGATATGTATGCAAGGGATGGGGTTCATCTCTCTGGGGGCAGGGGGGTAGCACTTGCAGATCGATTGGAAGGCTTGGTGAAATGCCCTTTATTTTAAAAATGATGGAAGATAGAGGATGGGTGTGTTTTGGGGGAAAAAAGCGGTTTTCAAAAATAGGGTTGGAAACAGTAAATGTATAAAAGGCATTCGCATGAAGTTTTAAATAAAGACAAAAGAAAGGTCAGCAAACAAAGGGGGGACAGCAGAGGGCAGCAAGGGACTAGCTCCCCTTAAAGGTTTACTATACTAATACAGGAGTGTTAGAAAAAAGATAGATGAGCTAAGATTTAAATTGCAAGGCAGGAAACATAGATATTTTGCTATAACAGAGACCTGGTCAATCTAAAAGATAGAGAGATGCCCTCTGAATGTCACTACGGTTTTTAAATTTTTCCCACACTGACAGGGTCAACAGGAAAGGTGGTGGAGTGCGATGTATTCAGAGAAAAATTAAATTGTTGTGTTAGACAAGTTTAAATTTTGGGAAGCGTCAGCCACTGAATCTTTTTTGGTTAAGTTCTCGGGGCCCCGGAAAAACTAATTTTTTGGGTGTGATTTCGGGCCCCCCAAATCTTGATAGGGAGTGCAGAAAACTTCTTGGGACGAAATTGTAAGGCATTACTTTCGAAAATGTTGTGTAAGGGGAGATTTCAACTATAGACGTTTGGGCTGGAGAAAATTTGCAGGAAATTTGAGTCGGGTGACTTTCTTGATACGACCCAGGATTTTTTTTTTAAACAGTTTGTGACGGCCAACTGGGGGGAAAAACCCTCCTTGACTTGGTTCTTCCCAGTAGGGAAACATAATTAAAATTTGGGGTTAATGATGAGCTGGGGGAGAGTGACCAAAACACTCAGTTTTAAAATCTGGAATTCCCCCTAATAATGGCAATCAAGTCCCCGTCCTGACTTCGCTTTGGGTGATTTCATAGATGAAAAAATTTCTTAGGGGGGCTGAACTGGAATGACCTGCTAGGGGTAGGTAGGTGGTGTGGTTGCCCATATGATGCTTTCCAGGCATAGTTCTAGCTGCTCAGTCAAAATTTTGTTCCAAATAGGGAAATAGATCAAACAAAAATGATCCTAAATGGATGAACAATAGATAAAATATTGATTGGTCAAAAGAGAGGAATATAGGCAAATCAAAAAAGGGAGGGGCAATTAAAAAATGATATATTTAGTTAAGAGAGAAAAAAAAAAGGGGGAAATTAGAAAAGCAAATAGAGATTTTGAGGTTAAAATTGCAAGAGAATCGAAGACTAACCAAAAGGATTCTTTCAGGTATACGAAGTAAAATCAGGGGAAAAATAGGCCCACTCAAAAGTTCCCCGGGTCAGCTCACTGCAGTGATAAGGAAATGTGTGAATTTTTAACACCTTCCCCTCGTTTTTACACAGGGGTACCAGCGATATTCCAGTAATGATAAAAATTTTGTTTGAACAGGACGATAAAACTGTGCACTATTGGGTCAAAAATGAATGGTCCCTTTGGCAAAAAGATAAAATTAAAAACCTAACAAATCCCCCGGCCCCGATGAACTTTATGCAAAGGGGTTTTAAGGAATGTTAAAAAGGGGGCTTAGCACACCTTTGGAATCTTTTCAACATATCACTACAAAACTGGATGGTGCCAGATAAATGGAAAAAAGGCAAATGTGAACCTATTTCAAAACAGGTGACAGGTCCTTAGCTTGAATTAGACCAATAGCCTAACCCCCATAGTGGGAAAATTTATGGGGAAACAAAATTTCCCGGGGAGTTCGTAGCCCCCTGAAAAACATAAAATTTAAAAAGAATTCAGCTGGTTTTTTCAAGGGGGGTTCTGCCTTACGAATTATTAACTTTTTTCACTAAGGTATTTGAGGAGGTAGATCATGGTAATGAATTGATTTGTGTATATGGACTTCAGTAAGGCTTTTGAAGGGTCCCAATCAGAGACTATTTAGGAAAATTAAAGGGACATGGAATAGGAGGGAGAAATTTTTTCCTGGATAGAGGCATGGTTGACAAATAGGCAGCAGAGAGTTTGCATAAATGGGGAGAAATCAGAGTGGGGAAGCGTCACGAGCGGTGTTCCACAGGGGTCAGTGTTGGGCCCCTGCTGTTCACAATCTACATAAACGACATAGATGAGGGCATAAAGAGCGACATCGGCAGTTTGCCGATGACACCAAAATAGGCCGTCGAATTCATTCTGACGAGGACATTCGAGCACTCCAGGAAGATTTGAATAGACTGATGCAGTGGTCGGAGAAGTGGCAGATGCAGTTTAATATAGACAAATGCAAAGTTCTAAATGTTGGACAGGACAATAACCATGCCACATATAAACTAAATAATGTAGATCTTAATATTACGGATTGCGAAAAAGATTTAGGAGTTCTGGTTAGCAGTAATCTGAAACCAAGACAACAGTGCATAAGTGTTCGCAATAAAGCTAATAGAATCCTTGGCTTCATATCAAGAAGCATAAATAATAGGAGTCCTCAGGTTGTTTTTCAACTCTATACATCCTTGGTTAGGCCTCATTTAGATTATGCTGCACAGTTTTGGTCACCGTATTACAGAATGGATATAAATTCTCTGGAAAATGTACAAAGGAGGATGACAAAGATGATCCCATGTATCAGAAACCTTCCCTATGAGGATAGACTAAGGGCCCTGAAACTGCACTCTCTAGAAAGACGTAGAATTAGGGGGGATATGATTGAGGTTTATAAGTGGAAGACAGGAATAAATAAAGGGGATGTAAATAGTGTGCTGGAAAATATCTAGCCTAGACAGGACTCGCAGCATGGTTTTAAGTTGGAAAAATTCAGATTCAGGAGGGATATAGGAAAGTACTGGTTTGGTAATAGAGTTGTGGATGAGTGGAACAAACTCCCAAGTACCGTTATAGAGGCCAGAACGTTGTGTAGCTTTAAAAATAGGTTGGATAAATACATGAGTAGATGTGGGTGGGTGTGAGTTGGACCTGATAGCTTGTGCTAACAGGTCGGTTGCCGTGTTCCTCCCTTAAGTCAATGTGACCTGACCTGACTAGGTTGGGTGCATTGGCTTAAGCCGGTAGGGACTTGGACCTGCCTCGCATGGGCCAGTAGGCCTTCTGCAGTGTTCCTTCGTTCTTATGTTCTTATGTTCTTATCATCCAAGATGTGGAAATGCTATGCTCCATCTCAGCATCAGGAGCCACTGCTCTTCACATCTGCAAATTACTCATTCTAGTAGAGTGACAGACTATTTTTTTAACTTGATGACAAGGGTTTTGTGACTGACACAGAATGGCCAACAGTTTGATGTGTGGTTGTAACTACCAACCTGTGCCTCACTGACTGCCCGCACCTCAGCGCCAGGGAGGCTTCCGGATCAAAAACCCCTGAAGGCAATTTCAATTGATGAGGGAATGAACCTCACCAGCAATGTATGCACAGTTTTTTCCAGGCTGTATTTCATCCACTACCTTCAGACTAATGGGCATGCAGAGAGATTTGTGGGGAAAACTATCATTGTGACAACACCAAGACAGATGGAAACCTGCAGATTGTCTCCAATAACCCTCAACTATTCCCCTATAGGACACTGACCACAGTTGTCTCTGTGGAATTCAGCTGCAAGAGGTCCAGAAATAGTATTACGTTTATAGTATATGCCTCAGAGGTAGACACTGCATTGCAGGGAACAGCCAATAACCAAGGCAGCAGAATGAATCAAAGAGAAGTACAGTACTACTCTAAGTGCCTAAGGAAGGTAGGTGGGATGGATTGTCACTTGGCCATGGGGACAGTGCTGCTGTACCTAAGCAGGAAAGATGATGTATGTATGTACTGTACTGTATTGGAAGTGCAATGAACTTAGGACACTGCTTTTGTGCCATAAAAACACATTTTAAATAAGACACTCAATTAATACATGTACAGTTCATAAAAATAAAAGGAAATGCTCTTATATTCAAAACTGAAATGGCAGACAAAATCAACCAGTACAAACAAGAATGACAAACACAATACAGTGCCAGAAACAGACTGTACTCACCCCATGCCCAGAGTGCTACTGCATTCCACTGAAAGAAAAAAGAAGTATTAACATACAAAAACATCAATGACAATGAATTACTTCATACATTCTTTAAGGAACAAAGACTTTTCTTTATAAGCAACATGATTAAAAAAAAAAATACAGTAAGTAGCAATGACCATGTTCTTTTACAAAAACTAGACAGATGTACACTGTACAGCACAGTTGCTCCTCACTTTATAAGGATTCAACTAAAAAATTTCATACATACAAACTTTTATAATAAAGTGCACTCTCTGTGCTTGGCTGGTCATTTGAACAAATTCACTCATCAGAAATCCCTGCAAGACAAAACTGAAAACAAATGGAATGACACCCAATCAGATTGCTTTACAGGAGTGCATCCTGAGAATGATTTTTCCTTAAAAAATTATGTTGTTTATAACCTATTACACCATGGTTGATAAAGGGGTGTCCCATAGATCGATTGCTAGTGCACTCAGCTCACACACTGAGGTCTGGGGATTGATCCCCCAGTACAGCTGGAAAACATTAAGAAGTGTTTTCATAAGACACCAGCTGTCCCTGTTCACCCATCAGTAAAATAAATACAGTGGACTCCCGGTTATCGGCCGTTCACTCTGTCATCGGCCGTTTTGGACGCGTCCATCCGCCAGCTGGGGCAGTTTGTGCTTCAGTTTGGCTTTGTTTCTCGGTGGCTGAGGAAGCTTCTGCTCATACATCCAAACATTTCGCCTGTTTACCATTGTTTTCAGTGGTTTTTCTTGCAGTGCAACTGTGAAATAAGTAAAGATGGCTCCAGAGAAAGTTCCTAGTAAAGTTCCGGTGGTAAAGAAAGTGAGAAACACCATGGAATTTAAGCATAAAGTGCTAGAAAAGTTTGAAAGTGGTATGAAGGTGGAGGAACTTGCTAGTATGTACAGTTGACCCTAAGAGAGTTCTGGAGGAATCACTTCACTATCCTCCATTGCATAAGCCTTATAGGTAAAGTTTGGGAGGGAGTGACTTCCAGGACTTTGAACTCTGCTTGGGTTTGAGGCTGACCCTGACCCTGCCGACCCTGTGGATCCTATTGTGGCACTGGGAAAGTAGCTGGGGTTGGAGGTGAGTGGCCAGGATGTGGAAGAGTTGGTGGATGACCACAGGGAAGAGCTAACCACAGAAGAGCTGCAAGAGTTTCATCTCGAACAGCTACAGACTGCAGCTGAGGAACTTGCTTCAGAGGAGGAGGAAGAGGGAGTGAAGGAGGTGCCTTCTTCAGAGATGAAAGAGGTGTGTGCAATGTGGACTAGTGTGCAAGCTTTTGTAGAGAAACACCACCCTGGCAAAGCTGAAACAAGCCATATCTGCAACATGTTTAGTGACAAAACCCTGTCCCACTTCAGGAAAATCTTAAAGAGATGCCAGAAACAGAGCACTCTGGACAGTTATTTTATGAGACAGGGGTCCAGTGACTCAAGCTGGTCGTAGTGGCAATAAAAGACAGAGAAGGGAAGTAACCCCAGAAAAGGCTTTGCTACCTATAGTTTTATGGAGGGGGATTCCCCTTCCAAACACTAACTCCTCGTCCTTTCCTCCTCCCTATCTTCCAGAAGCCAGTATTAGCCTTCAATAAAGGTATGTAATACTTAATTTTTAAAAAAAATATTTTTTTTTGTGAATATTTTTGTTTGGAACGGATTAATTGTATTTCCGTTAATTCTTATGGGAAATATTAATTCGGTTATCGGCCAACCTTCTGGAACGGATTATGGCCAATAACCGGGGGTCCACTGTACCTGGGTGTTAGTTGAATGGTGTGGGTCTCATCCTGGTTTATTTCTGGTCTGGTTATCATACAATTCAGTTTTCGACCACTTTTTTTCAATGAAATTTCCCCCTCATTTTTGTACATCTGCTCGGAAATCGCCTGCACCAGATGCGTCCTCCTGCCTGCGGGACGCAGCCACTCATACGTTTCGTGACTCAGCCTGCCTTCGTTACTCGTTCAGTGAGCATTACTCCGCGGGTTCACCCGAAACATTTCATAATAATCCACTGTTTTTTGCGTTTGAGACTGTTAAATAAGCCACCATGGACCAGCAGGTCATTTCAAACTTCAAAAAACTCTACACCAAAGCAACGTTTCAACAGTGCTTTCAAGTGACCTCAAGACACTGAACTGACCCTAAGAGAGTTCTGGAGGAATCATGTCAATATCCTCAATTGCAAAAACCTTATAGATAAGGCTTGCCAGGGAGTGACTTCCAGGACAATTAACTCTTCTTGGAGAAAACTGTGGCCAGAATATGTCCTTATTAGGATTCTGAAGGGTTTGAGGCTGACCCTGACGACCCTACGCCTGTTGTGGAATCTATTGTGTCTTTGGGGAAGTCCATGGGGTTGGAGGTGAGTGGCCAGGATGTGGAAGAGTTGGTGGATGACCACAGGGAAGAGCTAACCACTGAAGAGCTGCAAGACCTTCATCTAGAACAGCAACAGACCGACCTTAACTGAGGAAACTGCTTCAGAGGAGGAGGAAGAGAGAGGGGAGAATGTGCCTTCTTCAGCAATTAAGGACATTTATGCAAAGTGGAGAGAAGTACAAAGTTTTGTGGAGAAATATCACCCCTAACAAAGCTGTTGCAAGCTGTGTCAGCAACACATTCCATGACAATGCTGTGTCCCATTTTAGGCAAATCTTAAAGAGACGCCAGAAACAGGCCTCTCTGGACAGATTTTTTGTGCGACAAGGGTCCAGTGACTCGAGCTGGTCCTAGTGCCAGTAAAAGACAAAGAAGGTAAGTAACCCCAGATAGGGCTTTGATACCTAAGTCCTTATGGAGGGGATTTCCCTTCCAAACAATAACCTCTCCTCCCTTTCCCCTCCTCGCTATGTTCCATATGCCAACAAGTCTTCAATTAAGGTAAAAGTGATGTTAAATGTTTATTTATCCATTTTATTAGTTATTTATATTTATTTCTCATTTTTTCTGTATGTAAAACTACAGTTATTCTCCATAAAATGCATTTTTTGTTAATATTTTTGGGTGTCTGGAATGGATTAATTGGATTTACATTATTTCTTATGGGAAGTATTACTTCAGTTTTCATACAAATCGGTTTTCAGCCGACCTTCTGGAAAGGAAAGACGAAAACCGGGGTTCCACTGTAGTAGTATGTCACTGATATCAGCTAGGCCTGTATCCCTTGTACATGTACTCATAGACAAAGATATCATTATTATTAAAATGAAAAGTTCTACAATAAGCAATAATGGCATTAAAAATGTTCTAGAAAGCCTATGACATTGGAAATAATGATTTTAATAATAAAACCCATTGATGGTGAAATGATAAAGTATGAAATCTGCCAGCAATTTAATTTATTGTCAATGGTTATAGCCTAAATCTGTTTCCAAAATGTAACCAATGTAACCAAAAAAGTAATTCCTTAGCAAACTGTCAAAAAATCAGTAAAGTAATTTATTTATTTCCAATTTGTGCACACATACAGAGGTACAAAAAAAATACAGATAAGAGCAGTATGCCAAAGCCACTTATACTATGCATAGCATTACGGGCTGGCTTAAAATTAACTTAAGATTAACTAAGCAATGATTATTATTATTATTATAATCAAAAAGAAGCGCTAAGCCACAAGGACTATACAGCGCTGCTACTAAGCAATGATCAAATCAGTGATAAAACATTAATGTAAACAGATAACTATAAAGCACAAGTGAGTATTACAAAGACAGGTCATATGGTTGCATTCAGTTAGGTAGTGATTCTGTTAGGTAGTGTATTTAAAAAATAATAAAGTTAGATTGGGTTTTGGGTTTAACATTTATGTGATATAATTGTGAGAAACATTTAAGATATACAATTTATAATGTTCAGTTATTCAGTATTTATTTGGTTTTGGGTGAGTAAGTAATCTTTGAGAAGAGACTTGAATTTATAAACAGGTTGTGTTTCTTTTATATTTACAGGTAATGAATTCCAGATTTTAGGGCCTTTTATGTGCATTGAGTTTTTGCATAGTGTGAGATGGACACGAGGAACATCAAAGAGTGATCTGTGCCTTGTGTTATGGTCATGTGTTCTGTTGAGGTTGGCAAGGAGATGTTTGAGGGGAGGGTTAATATCAGAGTTAAGTGTTCTATGTATGTAATAGGTGCAGTAATAAGTATGGATGTTTTGTATGGTGAGTAGGTTTAGTGTATTGAATATTGGTGGAGTGTGCTGCCTGTAGTGAGAATTTGTTATCATTCTAACTGCAGCCTTTTGTTGGGTAATTAGTGGTCTGAGATGGTTAATTGTTGTTGAGCCCCATGCACAAATTCCATAGGTGAGATAGGGGTAAATAAGAGAGTGATATAGGGCAGGAGGGCTGACTGTGGAACATAGTACCGTATCTTCGATAGTATGCCTACAGTCTTGGAAATTTTCTTAGAAATTTGATGTATATGTGTATGAAATTTGAGTCTATTATCAAGGTGGATTCCTAAGAATTTTCCCTCTGTTAGTTTTGTGATAGGTGATCCATTTATCATTATGTTAAGAGGGACATCTGTAGCTCTGTTACCAAACTGAATGAAGTAGGTTTTGTCAATGTTTAGTGTAAGTTTGTTAGTCCTCATCCAGGTAGATATTTTCTGTAATTCGGTATTTACAGTATTGGCTAGCGTGACTGGGCTCGGGTGAGAGAAGACGTATGTAGTGTCATCTGCAAATAGTGTGGGTTTGAGTAATTGCGAAGCATTTGGAAGGTCATTTATGTATAGGAGAAAGAGAAGAGGGCCAAGGACACTTCCCTGTGGGACACCAACTGTAATTGGTTGTGCAGAAGAGTTTGCCCCATTTGCGTACACATATTGGCTTCTGTTGCTGAGGTAAGACTTGAGGTAGTTGAGGGAGTGCCCTCTTATACCATAGTGTGACAATTTTACATGGAGCAAGTCATGGTCAACTGTATCAAAAGCTTTACGTAAGTCAATGAAGATCCCCAGTGGGACTTCTTTTTTCTCTATTGCAGTGTATA